TCAAAGATGAATGAGAATTTTTAATGATACCAAATTTGACCTAACTTTTTCAGAAAGTTCATCTTCAAAATTCTCACTACTTAAGCAATATAAATGAATTCTAAGGACATGACTAGTTTCAGGGCTATGATGTCTACATTTTATCTTCACAAATGGAAAGCTAACAATGCATATATGAAGAGTTCAAAAGTCAGAAAACTTACCTCAAAAATGGATTTCATGTTTTGAGTTTGAGCTTGTTTCAAGGTGCTGCAATGATCAGGTTAGCTTTCTTGAGTTCCTAGGAAGCTAATGCAATGCTTAGCTTGAGTGGAGAGTGGCTGAAATGGCCTGGAGAAGTCAAATTGCAGACCCCTATTTTTGAGTTTGGACAATGGTGAAAATGTTGTTACAGTTTGGAAACATGGATTAAGGTGAGTTGTATTTGAGGTAAGGAAGCTTTTGAGATGATTTGGAGAGGAAACACACGAGTGGTTTGAGAGATGGGAGTTTTTGGTCAGATTCTATATAACAATGGAGTTTTTGTATAATATGAGTTTTCAGGTAGTTTGGGTGAGTTTGGGTGCTTGCTAATTCGTGTTTTAGCTCACAAATAGTGTCTCTATTTATAAGCAAGAAGTTTGAATGCTTGGAGAAGTCAGAAATCAAGAATCACATGTTTGTGGATTTGCCTTATTTTTTAAGCAACATTGATGAACATGGTTCCAATGCTTGTACCAAGTCTTCTAGAGTGGTTGAACACTTTAAACATGTTTCTTCTGGCCTAGTAGGTTAAGAGTGTGCAGAAGAAACAAGTTACAGGCTCAAGAAATTTACTTTGTGATTAAAGTGATCTTTACAAGAATGAAATGGTTACTTTCTTCCCAAAATAGCAATTTGGTTTGGATAATGATTGAATCAATTGGATAATGGCTCAATCAGTTGTGTAAGCCATTAATTATGGAGTGAAACAAAAGTTTGAGGCCTGCAAAGCAAATATTATGCAGCATGACTATGGATTTGGTCAAGTGTTCATCATAAAATTGACTTGTAATTAAAGTTTGAAACCCTAACTTCATCTCTTCGATTCTCCTAGCTCAAGAGTAATCTTAATGAGTTCTTGGATATTTTGAAAATCCCAGAACATCCTATACAATCTTCATGTTTTTCATTTTTGAAGAATCAATTTGGAACTATGTGAAAAATTGTCATGAAGTTGGGTCAAAAATCTGCCTAAACTAGGTCAAATTTTCACTAAGTGTTTTTTTATAAAAAGTGCATGACTTTGTGAATTTATAACTCAAGATCCAAGAATTTCTAGGATTTAATCATTAAAGAAAAATTGTAGATCTCATCAAGATCTACAACTTTCATGTTGAATATTTTCTTTGAATCATTTTTCATCTTGGTGAAAAGTTGGCATGAAGTCATGAAAAAAATAAGACTTAAAAATACTTAGAAAAATTCTAAGTCTTGAAAAGTTTGACTTTTAAAGATGAATTTTGACTTATGATCAATTTTCAAATTTTTGAATGTCTTGATGAAATGTGATCTTTGAAACTCAATTTTGATCAAAAAGTCAAAGTTTGACTTTTGGTGTATCATTTGACTTTTCATCAGTTGACTGGATTTCAATTATCAATCAATTGATCTTGAGAAATGAATTGAGATATGCAATTAGGTCAAAATGATGCATTTGAATCCTTGAGGTCATGTTTCAAACCAGTAAGTCATGTATTAGGTCAAAAGTCAAAGATTAGCCATTCTCAGTCAAAACCCTAATTTTGACCATTTTGCCCTTTTGGTGATTTGAATAATTTTCTTGGGGAATTATGATCCAAACTTGATCAATTGATACATATGACCTTAAAATGTTGATATTGATCCAAAATCTTGAAGTTTGACTGTAGGTTGACCACAATTGACTTTTTTATCCAATATATCTAATTTTAGGTCATCTGATCAATTGACTGAGCAATTTTGTGATCCAAAACTTGAAATTTGACATGAACAATATTGAGGGTCCATAATGATCCATGAAAGTCATTTGAAGTATTAGAAGTCCAATTGTCCTTGTGAAAACTCAAACCCTAATTTGAGGTATTAGTGTTGAGGAGATGACTTAACTTAGTCAATCCTTGTGCAAGCTTGAGCTTTTGAAGATCTTTGTGACAAAAGTCTTGAGAAAAGATAGGGAAAATTTTGGGGTACAACAGTTTGTTAATGGACCGGTCAGGTTCGACACTTGGACAATACAACAACTAACAGAGTTGAATCCGCACATGCCTAATTGAAGAATTGGTTGAAAAAATATTTTGTTCAGGTTTATTTGAAACCGGTATGTACTATACCAAATACGTCATTGGAATAGACGATACATTTCACAAAAGATGCTGAAATTTGCTGGATCACTTTTTAGAAGGGTGGTTCACCAAATTGGGCGACATTGAAAGAGAAGCAAATAAGAAAAGATCAAAGAATGAACCATCAATAGATTTAGGAAGTGACACATGTTTTGATGCATTTTAGTTGTAATCTAACAATGTAACACATTTTTTGCATGTAACACATTGGATAATGTTATAAAATTGGATGGTATTTTTTGGACAAATTTTGGGTTTTGAAAATTTGCTTTGCATAACCAGTTGGTTCTATTCTGCATATTTTTTGGGTAGTTTCGGAGATGCATCTCCGAACACACCTTGTAATTTAAATTAAAAAAAACAAAACAAAACATGGGACAATACGAACGTGTATCTTCGGATAAACCCTTAATTTTTTATTAAAAAAAGACGGATCCAAATATGTATTTCCGAAGTCTTTATTGAAGATAAGGTAAAATTGTAAGGTTCTTATTGCTCCACACCTTCTATAAACAGGGTTTCTCATTCCATTTTATTTACAAAATATCAGAATGAATCTCTATCGCCATCTTGCATTTGTGTATTTCAATAGCGCAAATTCCTCCACTTCAGTTTAGGGTCTCCAAGGATATACTTCTCGTCGATCTGAAATCCAAACTGAATACTCTGTTGTGATATCCAGAAAATCAGAGAGTTGTTAAGTTCGTGTACCGTTCACCCTCCATTGACAACGAAGAAAAGATATGGTTCACTATACTTGAGCTAAAGAAGGATGATGATTTGAAGGTTGCGTGACGTACTATTTACTGTTACTCAACAAAGGGTCTGATTGAAGTGGATGCGACTATTCAAAGATCAGCCGAAGATATTGTAATAATGTTGCAACGTCCTGAACCACTCGTTTTAATGACATGTAATGTTAAATTTATGTAATGTTTATATATGTAATGTTTACTTTGGTGTTAATCTATGTTGAGTTTCCATTCTGCTATTGTTTTCTGGTTGTTTCAGGTATGAACTAATATATCACATTTTGGAGTTGCATCTCCAAAAATGCCAGACTTAAATGACTTTACTGTAGTATAACTTTCCTGACTTTAGTTTATTTGGTGGACGAATACATAATTATTATATATTATATTAATATGAAAGAGAAATTAATTAACTAAAATCACCAAACTTATTGTATTACAACGTCAATCAAACCTTTTCCCTCCAAAAGACTTACAAATTAATGAACTAAAGGGGAATACGAAGATGCATCTTTGAATGTATATTTTGTTCATACAGAAATGTATTCCAGACCAAATAAAACATAACAATGATTTCTCAACAATTTTACTGAGTTGTATGTAAAAAAAATAAGTTCGAAGATGAATCTCTGGACGTGGAATATTAAAGACTTTTTTTACAGTAGTGTAGACGAATACGGGGTGGAAAGAGCATCCATTGATTGAATCAGATACTATATAGAAGCAACTTATATAATACAAATAGTTTATTGCTAATAATAAGCTACGAGAATCATTCAAATCAGAATATTACACATATACACACTAAAATATTTATAGGAATTAATACATAATAATATGACACAAACACACCTAGATTTGAGATTTTGGTTCTTTCTCATTCACAAATATTACTTTCCTCTTTTAATCACGACTACGAAAGATAGTTGAATCCAGTCAAAGGTGGAATAAAAATGAGAAAATTTGATCCTTCACTAGGATGAACATAGAAAACTAAATCTGTATTTGGAATAGTATGATTAGGAGGATTCTGAAAGTTGCTATGTACCATGATGAAGATATACACACAATTCAAACATAAATGCAATAAAGGAGATCTCAAACACAATGTAAGAATGAATGAATGAAATCAAAATAGAGGGTTCTTCCTATACCATATTATGAAACGGACTCAGATAACTATAATTGTGATAATATAGCCCTTATCATTCTCCTTATTGAATACAATGAATGAGTCTTTATATACAAGATGAGTGCAAGCTTGTTAAACTAATTGCTAGGATCTATTGAATAACCCCTCAGAATAACAGATATTCAACATGTATATGTAATGAAGAAAACCTGTTGCCAGATGCTAATGTCTAACAAATATTCAAATTCCTTGCACCTGTTGCCATATGCTAATGTCTAACAAATATTCAAATATCTTGCAAAAGCTCACAATCACTGTCAAAAGATTTTGATAATTTGACAAAGATCGAACAACTCATATATTAACTTAATTAAATCAAATTCAAATCACAATTTTAAAATATGGATCATTAGATCTTCATCTATCTAAGAAATGAAGTATGTGATTGCAACGAGCAATTCCATGTATAAATGAAAGACGTAAAAGATTTAAAAAAATAAGAAAAAAGAATGATACTACTTAAAAGGAAGTATAAAAGTTTAAAAAGAAATAAAATATTTCAAGTTATGTTGAAAAGAGGACTTGTATCTCCAAGGAGTTGATTTTGTGCAAAATATACATGTAGAACGCCAGCAGAAACGAATTCATCAATTATGGCCATCTATAAAACATGAATGCTTACGCTGCGCATACATAGTTTCAGCCACTAAATAGTGTATTAGATCAAATATGATAAGTAACAGGTGATAATGCCAATGCAATCTAGCAGATCAATCATATAGATATGCTGTTGGGGATTCCACGACCAGTTACCCCGGGGCCTGACGTGGGTAGCAACAGTTCATAGGGAGGAACACCTGCACCAGTTCTACTCTTCAAACGTAGATCTTTATTTCTTGCATTTATTATTTCCTCTATCTCCTCAAGTCTAGTAGATAACTTACTAAACAACTTCAGTACTGCATGGTCATTGATCCAATGATTATGCAGGTGATTCACTTGTCCCAAATACTCTTCGTCAGGCGAATGAGTCGACAATGTGTCCTGAACAGCCATTACTTTGGTAGCTTGAAGTTGAGTAGGCAATGATGATAGAAAGAAAAGCTGAGGATTTTCAATAAACTTCTCATAATCAGGATCATTTTCTTGAGGGATAAGTTTTCTCATGAGGGTTGGACGGTTAGGCACATACCCTCCGAAAGGGTATTGTCCAAAATTGATAGCTGCGTGTTGACCAGAAGCAACCCATATAATTGTTGTAAGTATGCCAGAAAGGTCCTCTTTGGTATCTAGTTTAGGCCACCAAGGTTCATTCCTTTTGTCGTGGTGACCCTTAAACTTGATTTCACTCCACCATTCTTGTAGCTCAACGTCGGATGCGATTGAATTTGATTCGAAATAGAAGTGTTCAACATAAGATTCTACCCATTCTTTAATGGCAGACCAGATTAGGAGTCCATCTGCAGCATAAGGGTAGTCATCAATCACAAGTTTTACACCAAAAGGCATTGAAGGGTCTTCTACTGCCATGCCCCTGGAAAAGAATATCAATTCTCAACAAATGTAATACCATTACTGCTGCTGCTACTACTACTACTACTACCAACTATCTTAATTTGCACGATTTAGTCAACAACAGAATCAAATGTTTAAGGGAAAAAATGTAGTAATAATTTAAGAACAAAATAGACATCAAGGAAATGAATGAAAACTGGGCTTTAAAGAGTGACATCATAGTTACCTCCGAATAAGATCTGCAGGGAGAGACTCCATATCAAATCTCCACATGTTCTTGTAAGCTGCTGAACTAAGCTCCATGGCATATTTTCCAGGACTGAAACATGCTTCAATTACACCCCCTCCATTAATTAAATTTTGCCTAGCAAGTGCATTAATTTCCATTGTATAGCGCAAATGAGGATGTAGCAACTTGTAAATGGGATGCATTGAGCTTAATTGTCTATGAGTAGCAATTATATATGGCTCCATGCATGCATGAGTCCTTAACCTGCATATTACATAGTGCCACTGTATCTTTACTCGCAGCCAAATGTGAGAAAATGCACCGTTTGAGAAATTTGAATTTATGAATATGAACTCAATTTGAGTTTGCTCAAACACCAATTGTCTTACCAATGATTTACTAATTGATGGATGCCAGCATCATTTGAGCAAGCATGAGCTTTTGCTAACTTCCAACGCCAGTGTGCTGTGGCATCATGGCCTATTGTGTAAACTCTTTTATTTTGTGGGGAAGAATGTGTTTGAGGAAGCGAAAGCTCAATAGCTATGGGACGCAAAATACCAGTCTTTGTATAGAAGAGAATCGTCCGCGAGGCATAAGCTTTCCTCCCAGGCAAGGAGTTCATCTTCTTGATGAATGGCAGAAGTGTGTCATGGTAATCAATAATAAATAGTCTTTTTTCCTCCATAGCCTGCCAATGTAAAAATAATTGATTGCAAGTAGAGAGAGTGAGTTTCTGTAAGATAAACAAATCAAATAACAAAACAAACATCCTTAAAGGTGTAACCCAGTGGTATAAGTTGAGACTCTGAATGAGTATTAAGGAGGTCCAGGATTCGATCTCTGCTACTAGCAAACTAACCACTAACATTTTCCTATCATAAAAAAAGAAAGCAACAAAGAAAACATGGAGCAAACCTTTTCCAAACTCATTACACCAAGTTCTTCCTCCAGTAGTTCCTTGGTTATTGCTGATTCAGAAGGGCCATAGACAATTGGATCTAATTTGCTGCAGATGGGAAACTCCTGCGAAAGACAGAGAACATCCATAGGAGATCATAGATGAACAAAATGATTGCGATACTCCTACAACTGCCTAACAACGAACAAATATGAAGAAAATTTGACAACTACCTTCAATAGTTCAATATTCACTGGATTGACCCCAGCTAAGGCCTGCCTTGCAAATTCGTTGTCCCGCAACCAAGAAAATTTATCTCCTGGAACAGCTCAAAAGGACTAGTTAGTGGAATGAATATGGTTTTGATCAATACAAGATTATAATGCATTCAAGGTTTTAAATCACGGTACATTAAAATTTGGTTGATGAAATCAAATTTGACCGATGAGGTCTCCATTGAAATCACGAACCAAGTGTATGTTTAGCTTCACTTTGGGAGGAGCTAATATTGATTCCCAAGGTATAGAATTGATTGTCTTCAGAATTAATTCTAACTTGATACTGGAATTTAAAGCTTGTCTCTACAATTGATTTTTAGACCCAAGCTTGTTTTTAACGCGCATTTTACATTAACTTACTTTTAGTCAAGATCAATTTTACATAATCAATTTATTATAAATTAAATTTTGTCATCGCAGAACCAAACTCGGTTTGCCTCAAGTCAAGGAATTACAATAGAAATAAATATAGAGATAGCATACCTTTTATAACTGCTGGGATTTCATATTTCAACAACCGTTGTCCAGCACTTACGACCCCTTTCATCGCCTTTCCCACCAAGAGATTTTCCATAATCCCTTTATGCTCTTCATCTTTTAAAGTAACACCACCAATATAAAGATTGTCAATTTCCGAGAAACATTTGAAAGGAATGTCTGAATTGGATAGAGTGGCTGCAAGTGAAGGTATAAGATTGTGGAGCACAGCTTTCAATCTTCCAGCAGAGAATGTGGCCTGCTTGATTTCTTCAAAAGTTTCATCACGGGGCACATACACAGGATGTGGCTTTTCAATTCTACTCTCACACATTGGATCTAATTTATAACACATTTTTTCACTCCATTAGATATTTTGTTTATTCCAAAACACAAAAATTCAAAGTGGCACCTAGTAAAAATAAGCAAAATTGTGTACTCTACCAGAACGAGTGGGAGGTCTTCCAGTTTTACAGCGGCGAGGATAAGGTCTGTCATGATTCCCAAGGACAGGCCTAACAAGTTCCTCATCTTTATCAGGGTTGCCCAAATCGTTATAAGTAGCATAATCATAGATTCTATCATATGATTTCCTTTCCCTTTCTTGGTGAGTACCACTACCCCTTATGCTTAGCAAGTCCTCACTTCGAAGATCTTTGATACCAGGTGGTGTTTGTGATGGTAAATATGCCTATAAAATCAATGCAAACAAAACAACATGCTAAGTTAAGTTGGTATGGAGGAGGTAAATGCTGATAGAATATCATAAAGCTAACAGAAAATACAGTTAGATCAAATCTCAATTGTATTCATTATAAATCTTAGAGATACACTGATAGCTCTGTTTATATAGAGAGCTAGAATAACAGAATTCTGTTATGATCTAACAAACTAAGACAGCTCAGCATTACAGCTGAACAAAACTCACTCAGAACAACTAACACAAGCTGATACAAATAGCACTTCATCTTTCATTCCCCCTTTGAAGCTGGGGGTAGTTCTAGCAGACTATGTTTGTCAAAAACTCTGAGCTTAGAACGAAGGGGCAGAAACTTGTTTGCAGATAGAGGTTTAGTAAGTGCATCAGCCCATTGGTCTTGAGCAGAGACATGAGCCACAACAAGACTCTTGTTGAGGACTTTTTCTCTAACAAAGAAAATGTCCAGCTCCATATGCTTAGTTCTATTATGGAGAACTGGATTGTGAGCAAGAGTTACAGTGCTCAGATTGTCACATAGAACTTTAGGAGTTAGAAAAGGACAGTGCAACTCCCTGAGCAGAGACTGCACCCATAACAATTCTGCAGCCAGATGTGCCATGCTGCGATACTCTGCTTCAGCACTGGACCTGGCCACTAACTGCTGCTTTTAAGACCACCAAGATATCAGATTTGGGCCAAGAAACACACAGGCACCAGAGGTAGATCGCCTGTCATCTGGGTCTGAAGCCCAATCAGCATCACAAAAACCAAGTAATTGCAGAGGCTGCTGAAGAGAGGCTGGTTGAATGAGCAGACCATGATGTTTTGTACCACTTAAATACCTTAATATTCTCTTCACTGCCTTCCAATGTTCTTCCAAAGGATTGGACAGAAATTGACAAACTTTATTGACAGAAAAAGAGATTTCTGGTCTAGTTAGTGTAGCATACTGCAGAGCCCCAACCACTGATCTGAATTGTGTAGGATCATCAACCTCAATAGAACCTATTTTGGATAATTTGCTGTTGGAAACCATGGGTGTGGGCATACCATTTGCACTGGTCATGTTCACCTTGGCTAGTAAATCAATGATGTATTTGCTTTGAGATAGCAGAAGTGAGCCATTAGGCAAATGTGTGACTTCAATGCCTAGAAAATAGTCTAATTTGCCCAACTGTTTTAGAGAGAAAACCTCATTGAGATGTTTGATTAGGGCTGTAATGAATGGAGCAGAATTTCCTGTGATGATAATATCATCCACATAAACCAGAATCATTATCTGAAGTATGCCCTGATGCAAAAAAAATAGACTAGGATCACATTTACTGGCCTGAAAACCTTGCTGAATGAGGGCATTTTTAAGCTTGTCAAACCAGGCCCTTGGGGCCTGTTTTAACCCATAAATTGCCTTATTCAACTTACACACAAGGGACTTATTAGAAGACTCAAATCCAGGTGGCTGCTGCATAAACACTTCCTCCTCAAGAGTGCCATTGAGGAAGGCATTATTCACATCGATTTGCTGGATGGTCCACTTGTGAGTGACTGCAAGTGTCAAAACTGTCCTTACTGTAACAGGTTTTACAACAGGTGAGAAGGTTTCAGAAAAATAACTTCCAGCCTGCTGATGGAAGCCTTTGGCCACCAATCTGGCCTTATATTTGTTAAGAGTACCATCAGAATTCTCTTTTACCCGAAAAACCCACTTGCAGCCGATGGGTTTCCTTGATTCAGATGGTTCCACCAGTGTCCAGGTCTGATTTCTCATCAGTGCCTGATATTCTTCCTTCATTGCCTGGTACCAGTGAGGAAAAGCCAAGGCTTGACCAACAGAGGTTGGTTCAAGATGAGTCAGTAACAAGGTAGGGTTTAGTTTAGGTTTTACAATGCCTCTTTTGGCTCTTGTTTGCATTGGGTGAGTGTTAAAAGGATTGATGAAAGGCTGAGAATTAGGAGAGGAAGTGGGACTTACAGATTGAGATATAGCAGGGGAAGAAGATGGGGATATGGTACTTGCTTCTGCTAAATCAGAAGTGATAAGAGCAGGTGTGGATGTAGAGGTGTTGGGAGAACTAGACAGAACAGGGGACTGCTCAGCTAAGTTGGGTGATTCAGGGTCAGCTGAGTTGGGTGATTCAGGGACATTGTTATGTAAGCTATTGGAGGTAGAATGAATGTGAGTAGAAGAAAGAGGAGTAGCAGAAATGGATGGGTCAGAACTGACTTGAGAAATAGGAGTTGGTGACATGAGAGGCACACTGGAATACGAAAAAGTGGAAGATTGAGGTGTGGTAGATGAGGAAGGTTTAGAAGATTCAGAAAATAATTTGGAATAAGGGAATATGGACTCTTGTATTCATTATAAATCTTAGAGATACACTGATAGCTCTGTTTATATAGAGAGCTAGAATAACAGAATTCTGTTATGATCTAACAAACTAAGACAGCTCAGCATTACAGCTGAACAGAACTCACTCAGAACAACTAACACAAGCTGATAGAAATAGCACTTCATCTTTCAAATGCTATATATCAATGACACTTCAAATCGAAGGCGTGTCACACACTTGTTTGTTAGTATCAAACAACACAGGTTTAGAATATCAGTGTTGCCATATCCAATGCAGTGTTTGATAAGAAAAAAAAGCATTAACGAATAATTACTCAATGCTAGCTATATTTATCACACTACTACTCACATTGTTTTTGAATATGATTCTACTTTGAGGGTTGTCTTTACATGAATGAATCCACGTGTTTGCGGGGAAGAAAATGGGTCCTTGAGTGAAGCCATGAAGGATGATTTCCAATAAGTGGAACTCCTTTGCATGAAGATTGGTAATAAGAACAGCAGCAGGGGATCCAAAGTCGCTTGGCAATGTGAAATCAGCTGAGTATTCCACAATATATGGAACGTTTGACGGCTTCGGCAGCCAACCTCTTACGTGGGATTCCATACTTTTTCCACAATTAGTCTCTGAATATGTAACATAAAAAAATCAAGTATAATGAAGTTTGACTTGTTAAATAAAAATGTAATGAATTTAGTAAATCAACATCAAGGAAATAGTAAGGTCTGATCAAATTAGTTTCCAAATTTGTGGAATAATAATTTAATCACTTAAGTTGATTAATATCAATCAATTTAGTTATTTTTCTAAAAAAATTAACACCACAATTTTAAATCGGTTATACGTACGTCTTCTAGGTTCGTCCCTAAATATAAGACCCCTAAAGTAAATCAAATGAGTTAAGGAAGTTGATTGGAGTATTAAGTTTGCTGACTATTTGTATAATTTTACAAATTTATTGTTAGAAGAGAGAATTATTTAATGTTTGTCTAAGAATATTTAGTGCAGATTGTAGAAAAAGATGCAACATAATTATGAATACATAAGTAAAGAAATTATAACGCACTATGAATTTGAAGAGAATCTTATAAGAAGGACAAGTCACTGCTTTGTATTGTGTATTTTACATCTGTCAAACCTATAACTTGCAATACAAGTCACTGTTATGAAACAAGACTTAGTTAGGATTTGTACATGCTATAAATAGCAGTTTGTAAATTAACTTGTATTCAATTAATTCCATTTGAATCAATTTGAGTATGTTACAGTTCATGAAACAAGATTCAATAATTAAAATTAGGATAAAGTATACCTCTTCCATTTTCAATATTCGTAATAACTATTAGCTAAAGTATTTTTTTTTACCAAAATAAGAAAGAGAAGCTAAAGTAGATTTTAGCTTATTAACCTTAAAAGTTTTAATTTGAATCCTTTATCTTTTGTTTGCTTAGAAATAGTTCCTTGTTTCACTCAAGTTATAATATGTAGTGCGGTTATTATTATATTTATAACCCTAACAAAAATTTGACTGACAAACCCTCTTCAAACTTTTAAAAAGGAACATTCTCTCTCTCGAGATCCACCCATAAAATATGATAATTTGAAATTGTCAATAATAAATTAATATTTTTATAAAAATCATTAATATGTGATGGAAAAGGATTTTATTATCATGAGAGAGAAACTACTACAAATGTGAAAAACACGTGGGTCACGCGGATCGGAGATAGGTTTGAGTGATTTTGCGGTGCCAAAATCATTGTAGTACACACACACTCTCTCTCTAAATAAAAATAAACACCCCGCGATTCGTGAGACTTAAAAAAAAAAAAAAAGATAAATATTTAAAAAATGATAATAAAAGAAAGATATGATATGAATGATGATAACTGTGTTAAAGAAAAATTGAAACAAACCAGGGTCAATTTGTTCACTGACGAGCCGAATCTGAATCCCCTGACCAGCACCATTGATGAAATACTCCAACTTATCTTCAACAATATTATTACCTTTCATCTTCTTCCTTATCGTCACAACCGCCTTCACATTAATCACTTCGCCGTTTCTGCCACCGCCACTCGAATCACCTGGAACTGAGTCGTTCGTCTCTTTGCTCTCCACCGGAGACGACGTCGCAGTCTTGCTGTCCCCGCTACTGATCGCTGCTTGAATCTGAACTCTCCTCCGTCCATATGACCGTGAAAAAACTCTCCGGTGCCGCTTATCAGTGCCGCCGGAGAATACAGTCGGGGATCGGAGGATCGAGAGACTTGACTTCACTGCGAACATGTTGATAGTTCGTCGATCACGTGCAGCGTCTCTAACTGGAAAATGAGTGTAGTAGACTATTAGTAATAATAATGCTGCTTAAACGACGTCGTTGCGGGGCAGCTGGCTTTTTTCTTCTTTTTTATTTATTTATAATTTAGCTTTTTCATTTTTAACTATAATGATATTTTTGGTTCAAGTAAACGTGAGTTTCTTGCTTTCTATTTGTCGTGATTGTCATTTCCCATTCCACAATAAGTTTTGTACTAGTCTTCCATTGTGGATTGAATTTTCTTTTTCATAGTTCAATGGTTACTAAGAATTGTGACATGAGAGAAGAGTATGAACTCGCAATGGACAATTCCTGGACCACAAGGCACGAGCACTAAATAAAAAATAAACGTGGTGAAGGGATTTTTTTTTAGTAATATAAGGAAAGACACTAAGTCGAATATGTGGATATTATAAAACAAGGGAAACAAATTGAGATTTTATATGTTTGTTTTAGTATCTATATCAATAATTTTGGGAGGTACGAATTCAAAATGTTTAGAGAGAGAAACTATCATTTCTCTCTCTCTCTCTAAAATTAGGGTTTCTTCTTCTTGGATAGTGTAGCGGTAGAAATCTTCAAGACTAAGTCATTGGATTGACTAAATTTTATACAAATCAAAAAAAAATCGTCACCGCGCTTTATTGTTTTCAAAGGAATGGGAAAAGAGCGAATAACCCAAAAAGAGGGGGAAAGATTCAAGGTAAAGGGGTTGGTTATGCAAATGGAATGTATTAGCACCATAAACATCTACGGTACTCTGCAGGAACTTCTTCGAAAAATCTGTATATTTTAGCTATAAAAATGTGTTGTATAGAAAATGGATGGTGGAGGTGAGGAGAGAAGTATTTTTTATGATTTTTGCACCCGCCGCGGTTGCGAATCTTTAGTGCCTACGTACCACCTTTCGTGCAATAGGGGATCAGGGTACACATAGTTCCTCTTTTAAAAATTTGAAACACAAGTGTGTTGGTTAATTTTAAGAGATAAGACATCATCGTCATTGTCCGTGTGGAAAACATACTTACTACCCACAATCATGAAAAAGGAGAATTTGCATCATCCCAAAGTAGAAGATATAGCTTGGATCTTAAGATCAACAATGCCTCACTCAACACCCAAGTGGAAAATATCTCACTTCACTACATATTGTAGAAGTATAGTTGTTTGCATCACTACAAGGGTGACAAAAGTCTAATCTTTTGAGAAAAGTTTAAAGATAAAAGCCAAAGTGGCAAAATGGTTTGAAATTAGATTGATTGACTTTTAGTCTTCTCACAAAAAATGTCAAGGTATTATTAAATTGATTGAAGTTTATTTATGAAAATATTTTGAAAATGCATGGACATAAGTCCAAGTTTATTATGAAAGTGTTTCAAGTTTAGAAATAAGAAGAGTTTTCAAAAGGAGGAAGAAGATTTTTGAAATTAAAGAAGATGGGAGGAGAAGAAGAGGCTATCCTAAAGCATAATGTAAAAGCTAAGGATAAAAACCATCTAACCAACAAGAAGCCAAAACTTGACATTATGAGCCAAGGTAAAATTCCCCTTATTTGGATTAAAACCAAACAAGCAAAGATACTAGACCTCTTGAGAGAACCAAACTTCAAGTGTATTAAGTCTTCACAAAAATTGGGCAGAGTAACGGCTGTATACGGGTGAATTCCAGATTACAAACAGAGAATGCAATCACAAAAACCTGCACACAAAACAAACAAGCAACCCAATGTCTTGAGGTAAACCTCAAGAACTCTAGATAAAATAATCATATAAGATCACAAGGTCTCCAAGATAGGTCAAGGTCTCTAATCCTAAGTCCAAGAAAAAGTCCCATGCTCCATCATGCCAAGGATAGTAACCAAATAGTCCAAGTGCCATTAAAAGTTTTTTAGGGTTTATGTTGATTATTAAGTATCTTAAGAAAAGAAAAGGAAAACTCAAGTGAGAAAAGTAAAAATGGCAAGAAAATAAATGCTCAAATGAGCAAAGATGAAAATGGCATGAAATGTAAATGCTAAAAAAAATAAATAGTACATAAAGCATAAAAGATAATAAAAACATAAGATAAACAAGTCAATAATTAGTGGTTAGTTGGATGACCATCTTGAAACTTGCATTTGGAACTCATTAGAGGATTGGTAGAACCAAAGCCTCCACACAACAAATTGCATTTGCTTTTTGTCAAGTATATCATCCATTTGAAATTCTCACAAGTACTATTTAATGATAAACAATGTTTAAGTGATCCGCGTTGACCAAAAGTGTGGTAGATCCATTAGAGGATTGGTAGAACCAAAGCCTCCACATAATGAATCTCAAAGTTATTGGATCAGAGAGATCAAATTAACATACTTGGACTTGCAATCATAAGTTTGGGCCACGAATGATCATTTATTCGAATCAGGATAAAATTTAGTGCTATGTTAAGCAATCGTAAGTGGACTTATATAAAAGTCGCACCTATTTTGAGGCCGGTCAATAGCAATCTATGCACCATTTATTTTGAGACATGATATAGAGATCATGCTCCAACAACACTTAGTGCAATAAGAAGGGGATGAGATGAAGAGGATTAGGATAAAAAAGAAAGAATATACAAACCACATTTGAATTAAATTTTAATCAAATTGCTATTAAAATCATTCATCCATTTTTGTGGAGTTAATCTCAACACAATGAATCCAATGATGTTAATAAAGTTCATGATCCAAAACCTAACCCAAGATTAGCTAGAAAATAATCACAAAATAATATTATATTTAATATACACATAAAAAAATGTTTAAAAATAGAAAAATAATGAGGAAAATATCAATTATGTTCAAATTAATCAAGAAGTGAAATATAAGGCCATAGAAAAATCAGAAATGGATCAAAATATTTTTATAAAAAATTTGGTAATTTTTAAAAGTCAGAAACTATTTTTAAACCATTTAAAATTATTCAAACAAACATAAAATAGGTAAAAAATAGTAAACCTCAACATAAAATTCCATAAAATTTTCAGAAAGTCAAAAATATGCAAAATAAAATTTATGAATTTTTTCAGAATTAAAAAATGTCAGAAAGTATTTTTTTGGTAATTAAAGGAAAGCAAATAATACAAAAAATATAATAAATACCAAATGTTATAATAAAAATGTGAAAAAATAGTCATGAGATCAGAAATAATTCAAAGTATTTTTGTGAATTTTTTCATAATTTTTGGATAAAAAATAAAAGAGTTATGAATTTTTGAAAATGTAATCAAATCAAATATAAAATCAGAAAATAAAATAAAACCAAAAAGATGTGGACCATCAGATCATAGTCAAAACGCGTTAGTAAGCTAATCCAATGGACCAGACGCGCTGTGCTTGATATGGACCTTAGTGAAATACACATGGGATCAGAAAAAGGGCAACCAATCAAATTAAAACGTTTGGCACGCTATCATTGGCTGAGACGAGACATGTCATCGTCTTCAACCTCCAGACACCCTACAATGAGGATTTTGTGAGATCCTTCAAATGGAAAAATTAGGATCCCAGGCTAGCATCATTGAACTCGTCTCTTCAAGACGATTCTAACACAACTATCGCGCCAAATTTATGTAAGGTATGGAGAGAGATATGAATCAAAAACTCAGAAAATAGCGAGCACCTTCAATTTGAGATTTCTCTCTCAATTCTCAATGGATTTAAAAATTGTAAGCCGCCTTAGAATCAAACAAAGGAGTAGAATAGATTAGTGCTTGATTTGGATCCAAATGATGGAGAATTCTACCTTTTCGAAGTTCAAGTAAAAAGCTCTGAAACTGGACTTCTGTAGCTTGAATTATGGCTCGTTTTGATTGGTTTGAGTGCTGGAGAGTTTGTATGATGCTCAAGGATGATGAATGTGCAAAGAATTTTGGAAAAGGAAGCTTAAATTTCAGAAACTGAATTCAAAAAAAGTGGGTTCGTGTGAGGTTTTGGCAGGGGATTCTTGGCTCTCTAAGCTTGGGAGAATGGATGAGGGATGACCCTCTATTTATAGGGAAGTGAATGGGAATGAAAATTTGAAGAAACAAGGAAGTTTGGAGGGAAATTGAGTAAGGGTCGAGCACGAGTGAAGTGTGACTTCATTTCCATCAAAACTCAGCCAAACCTTGCGTTTTGGGGTGCTAATAACTTCTGGCAAGTTTGTTAATCAAGTTTAAATAAAAAACGCGCACAAATCTTGTGTTTAGAAGTCACATTATGGATTTCAAAATTCTGACTTTGTGAAAAATTCAGTTTCAAGTTACCAAATTCAAATCCATGGCATTTCCAACTCAGGGGGTCTTATGGCATGATTCTTGATGCTTTGGAAAGATGAGGTTACAAGCTTTGAAATGGAAAAAGAATGGAATCAAATGGATGCTTGAGCTGAAAGTTACATAGAGTCAAAGTTGAAGAAAAAGAGTTGACTTTCCATACTTAGAAATATTTCAAACTCTTCTTCAAAAATGACCTATAATCTTTTGTATCCAAACATGGCATTCCTTTTAGAATTTTATCTTTAACAAAAAAAGATAGAATGAATTAGATCTCTTTAATGACATTTTGAAATTTGAACCACTCAAAACCTCCAAAAAATGAGCAAGTTATGACTTGTTGAAGTTGGCCAAAAATCATGAAATGACCTATAATCTTTTGCATACTTAAGGAAACTTCCATCCATTTTATCACTTTTCACATAAAATAGGGCATAAAGTACACATATTTAAGATCATCATGGAAAAATAATGGACTCAAGGTGATAAAAATTGACCAAGTTATGACCTTTTGAAGTCACATATGGAAAATTGTGGATTCATCTGGATGACTTGTAATCTTTCTTCTTCACCAAGTTCCTTCCACATGAAAACTCCTTAGAACTTTTGAAGTGATTTGTTGGTAACTCTTTGAAGAGAAAGATGTCTTTGGAATCACTCAAAAATACCAAAAGGTGAGCAAGTTATTCTCCTT